AAGAAACTGCTTGCCCTGATAGGTTAAAACATAGGTGGGAGGAGTAAACAGGAGGAAGTGAGGTAAGACTCCTCAGGCAGACTCTGCTCTGCTCCCGGAGAGACTCGACAGCTCTGCTCTCTGGAGCAGAGATGCCATGCTCAGCTCTCCTGGGTAGACTCGACAGCTCTGCTCTCTGGAGCAGAGACGCCAGGCTCTACTCTCCCAGGCAGCTCCGACCCAGGATGGACGTAGGCTAGAATCTTCCTGGTAAGCCCACCTCAGGGTGCTTACACACATTATTAGAAATGGGCTAGTCCAGGTGCGAGAGTTAGCCGAGAAGAGGCTAGATATAATGGGCAAGCAGTGTTTAAATGAATATGATTTGTGTGTTGTTATTTCGGGCATAAGCTAGCAGGCGGCCAGGGTGCTGGGGACGCAGCCCCGCCGCTCCTATTTCAACAGGCATGCATGTGGAAGTCTGAGAACGACTGCCAGCATGAGTTCTTCCCTTTATCTTTTTTAATTAATTTTTATTGAGCTCTACCTTTTTCTCTGCTCCCTTCTATCTTCTTTAAGACAGAAGCTCTTCTTCTTTACTACTGCATACACCAGGTTAGCTAGTTAGCCAGCTTCCTGACGCTGTTTTCCTTGCTGTAGGAGTTCTGGGATTACAGATAGGTGCTACCATGTCTGGAGCTCTGGACCCTGGTCCTCATGCTAGCACAGCCAGCATTTTCCCCAGCCCCTCACAATGGAGAAAATGATGAATATGCATAGTTCAGGGGATTCTTATGGTAGTAAATAATTCCTAAATGAACAAGTATGCATAGGAAGAAAAATAGGAATTACGTGGATTTTGGTTTAGAAAGTACAATTATTAAGCGAGTACAGTAAATTATATAAAATGTTAAAAAATAGAACCCACCATTTGCAACTTGTAAATATCATTCAACCAAATGATATTTCTTGGGTAAATGTGAAATACTTTTTTCAGACAAAAATTGAAAGAATTTGATGCTGGTAAGCCTTTTTTTTTTTTAAAAAAAAAAAAAGTTAAAATAAATTCTTCAGAAAAAGTGAAAGTTAGAAATATAGATCTATATTATTAGAACATGAAGGTGTTTAAGAATAGGTAAATTAAACTTTAACATATTTTATTTTTAATATTTGATTGGTAAATAACATTTGTCCAAACTAAAAATAAAAAAACTACTGCATTCCATAATTATTGCTCATGAATATTTGATACGAATGAAGGCAGTGTATCAATGGATAGGAGAGACAGCTTATCCTTTGTCATAAAGCATGTGAAATACCTATGAAGCAGCACAGTATCACTTGAAATGCAATGTAAAATACTTGATGGCATATATAACAAGTTCTAAAATAACCAAAAAATCAAGGAAAGTATAAATTAATGAGCTAAAATGGTAAATGTAATAATTTTGTAAATGCTAAATTAAAAATAGACAAGGCAAAAAGAAAAAAAAACATGAAGAACATGGAAACATCTAAAACGTAGTGACAAAGGAGGTAAGTACTAATCCAAACATCTCAACACTTATTGTAAATATTCTAAAGTTTTAATCATGCGTACTTGTGTGCATGTCTGTGTGCAGTATGTGCACGAGTGCAAGTCCCTAGGAGGCTAGAAGGTTTTGGATCCCCTAGAGCTGGAGTGAGTGCAGCAAACCAAACTCCAAGTCCTCTGAGCAGTACCTGATCTTAACTACTAAGCTATTTCTCCAGACTCCAAAATTCACTGTAAATGTAAATTTTCTGAACACTCTAATTAAAAGATAGATACATTCAGTATGCATAAAAACAAATGAAGATGGAACTACCTTTTTTTATAGGAATCTACTTTAGGGACTGGTGAGTAATGAGGGCTTGTTCTGCAATCACGAGGACCAGAGTTGCGATCCCAGCAACCACATAATAAGCCTGATATCCCCATAAACACAAGGAATCCTAGCTCTGAGGGCTGTAAGGACATGAGGATTGTTGGGGCTTGTCGGCCCAAGTCTAAGGGTGAGATTCCTACCTCAAAGGAAGAATCAGAGCATGGTAAGAGTGCTTTCTTCTGATTATTGCATTCGCATGTGCATGCACACACATGTATACAGACAGCCCCTACACAGAAACACATACATAAATAAAATAAAAATATCTTCAAAGTTTTCCTTCATAGAGAAAGGCAATAATCTTTTCAATGTATGTCTGTGTTCTGTTAACAAGTATTTTATTGGGTATTTAAAAAAATCTATGTTCTTCAGAGATATTGGCCTGTCTGGAGCTTTCTTTTTTGCTGTGTCTTTACTTGCTTTTGGTACTAGAGTGATAGTGGCTTCACAGAAGCTGGGGAGTGCTCCTCTGCTTCCATCATTTTGAATGGTTTAGGGAGGACTGGCTGTAGAGCTTTTTTGAATGTCTGGTAGATAGAATTCTGATATGCATCCATCTGGCTCTGGAGTTCTTTTTGCTGGAAGGCTTTTTATTATTGTTTCAATTTCCTTCTTTGTTATGGGTCTGTTTAGGTTGTTGATTTTTTCTTGGTTTAATTTTGGTAGCTTTCTGAATCTAGAAATCCATCCATTTTGGGGGGGTGGGGGTTTCACAACTCAATGGAGTACAGGTTTTTAAAGCATTCCATTATCTGAGTTTATCTGTTGTCTGCTGTAATGCTTCCCTGTTCATTTCTGATTCTGTTGATTCAGTCCCTCTCTTTTGGTTAGGTTAGCCAAGCATTTATCAGTCTTGTTTATCTTCTCAAAGAACCAGCCCTCTTAGATTCATTGATTCTTTGCATTGTTTTCTTTTTTATATTTTATTAATACATCATTTTTCTGTTTCCCTTTACTCCCCCCAAACCCTGCAATATGTCCTCTCTTGCCCTTTTTAAAATTAATGGCCTCTTTTTTTTCATACACCTTTAATCCCAGCACTCAGGAGGCAGAGACAGGAGGATCTCTGTGAGTTTGAGGCCAGCTTGGGCTACAGAGTTCCAGGACAGGCTCCAAAGCCACAGAGAAACCCTATCTCAAGAAATCAAAAAAAAAATCCCTGTTGTTACATAAAACTATGATATGCATACATTTATAAATACATAAATACAGCCTGCTTAGTCTACATAATGATAACCAATTAGTGTGTTCTTCCTTGTGAAAAACTATTTCTCCTACTCTCAGCATCCCATTCCTTTGCTGTCTATAGTTCTTTGTGTAGGGTTGAGGCCTCTTGGGCTTTCCCCTGGTCATGTTAGCATGTGTATTGGTGTCCTTGTTCAGCTCATGTTTAGGCAGTCATGCTGATGAGACTTTATGGCTGTAGCTTCTGACATTACTAGGAGACACAGTCTCACAACAAACTCCCTGAGTCAGTCAGGACTACATAGTGATACCCTGTCTCAAAGAATAAAAACAGTATAGTTATATAGAATAGCACTTACAGTCAAATTGATCTAATCGATATCTATTGAATATTTCTTCTATAAATACCAAGATATACATTATGCTCAATCTCCTAAAAAACACTATCAAAATACACTATATTATGAGCCATAAACTATAAGTTAGCACACTTAAGAGAACAAACAACATTCATTTCAGAATACAATGTAATAAAATAAGAAATCAATAAAATGAATACAGTGTCTAAATAAATTAATAAAAGACAAATTAGGAAAAATTGTTTAAAAATGTACTTTGAAAAGAATGATGATAAAAATGAAACACCAAAATCCTTAAAATAAGGCACTGCTTAACAGTAAAATTATAGATTTGTGTGCATATATTAGGAAAGAAATGACTTATCATCACTAACCTAATACTCCATCTTAGAAAACTAGAAAAGAGCATAGTAAGAACAAATGAGAGAACTACAAATTAATAAAACACCGAGAAAAATAAGACATTAAAGCAGGAAGGGGATTTGATAGAAGGGAGAAAAGTTTCAGTTAAAAAATATTCATGAGCTACTAAATATTTGAAGGATAAACTTTATATTTATATTAAATATTAATAATAGTCCTCCACAAAATTGTAAAAAGAGAAGTAGGTGGAGAATACTGCCTAACTTATTTCATAAGGCTAAAATTATTAGCCACGTAAAAAACCCAGACAAGTTACCACAAGAAGAAAACAACTATCTCCTATGAACACTAATGCAAAACTCATCAATAAAACACTAGCAGATAAAATTCATCAGTGGTGTGGGAAGTCCTTCTGTCTATGTGTTACTTTTATTGATTCATGAATAAAGAAATTGTCTTGGGCCTGCACAGGGCAGAATGGAGGTAAGTGGGGAAAACTAAACTGAATGCTGGGAGAAAGAAAGCGGAGTCAGGAGACACCATGTAGCCCAGCCAGGGACAGACGCTGGACAGAAACTTGCTGGCAAGCCATAGCCACGTGGCAATTCACAGATTAATAGAAATGGGTTAAATTAAGATGTAAGAGCTAACCAATAAGAAGGTAGAACTAATAGGCCAAGCAGTGATTTAATTAATACAGTTTCTGTGTGGTTATTTTGGGGATGAGTAGCTGGGAACAAACAAGCAGCCTCCTACAAGATATCAGCCTATTTAAAAAATGATGTTCCATGACCAAATGAATTTTATCCCACAAGTATAAGGTGATTAGAACCACAAAAATCAATGTATCATGTCCTATTAAAAATGAATAAATACAAATACTTATCA